TATTGCTGAAGATTTGTTTGCAAGAGGGCAGACGTATTTTTTACTTTTATGTTGTAGTTCAATCAGTAATTGGCATTTACTTACATAAATGCAGCACAATAACCTTTATGTGTACTGTGCACATACATTAGCGTAGTGTAGTTTAAAAAAAAAAGAAAAAAAGAAGAGAGAGTAATTGGGCTCAAGTGTGTGTGTGCCCACATAACACAACAAACAGAACCCATGTCATTAGTACCCACTGGACTAAGTCTTTGATGTTGCCTATCCTTCTTGTTGTTTGATGGTACTGGCCTTGTAGATGAAGCACAGGAATCAAATAATGCATTATGAACGGAAGCCAAAACACAGCAGCAGTTAGCTTAGTCTGGTTGTCTAGAATACTCAGATTTCATGGGCGAACATGTAAGTCCAAGGTTCCATCAGTAACAGTTGATCTCAGTGAAATTTAACTTCGTTGTGTGTTGCAAGTGATCCCAGTTTCCAAAGTGACAGGTCCACTGGGTGAGTTATTAGGCCGATAGGGCTGGAAACAACTATGGATTTTTTTCCTTGCCCATCGGGATTTGTTAACATATAGAAAGAAGGCCGGTACACCGCTGATAAATGCAAGATATTTAGGTTTGGTAAACATATTGGCTGCCTGACAAAATAAGAGAGTTTAAAATAATTTTTAATGTTTCTCTGGGTTTTTAATGTGAAACGTTTTCATTTCTATATGCATTAAAAAGTCATAAATTAGTAAATGAGTTATACTTTTGATGTAAAAAATACAATGGGTTTAGTTAGTTTTGCTCACTTTGTCAGTACAGGTAATAAATTGGGTCTTCCTGAACTAAATGGCAAGCAATACATTAAGGATCGGTAGAATCAGTAGGAGATGAAGAGATGACAGGAGCAAGATTTGTTGTTATAGTCTTGTGCATGTGAAAGAAAGAAGGAGGAAGTCAGAATACAAGTGTGTAAATGTGAGGAAGACAGGTGGAAAGGTGAACAAGCAAGGAGTAGATATAGTGAATGCTGATGAGTTTAAATACCTGGAGTCAACCACCCAAAGCAATGCACGGCATATAAGAGGGATGAAGAAGAGAGTGTGGAGTGGGTGGAAACAAGTGTCAGGGGTGATTTGTGACAGAAAGACAGCAACAAGAGTGAAAGAGAAGGTTTGCAAGGCAGCGGTGAGATCTGCTATGATATATGGTTGGAGACAGTGGCAGTAACAAAAAAAACAAAAAAAACAGGAGGCCGAGCTAGAAGTAGAGATGCTAAGATTTTTGTTCAGAGTGACCAGAATGGACAAGATTAGAAATGTGTATAATCAGAGGGACAGCTCAGGAGCAGTTTGGAGACAAGGTTAGCGAGCCAAGGCTGAGATGTTTTGGACATGTGTAGAAAAGAGATATATTGGACAAAGGATGTTCAATACAGAGCTGCCAGGCAGGAGGAAAACAAGAAAACTTTAGAGGAGGACATGCAGAGGGTTGGTGTGACAAGAGCATGCAAGGGATAGAATAAGATGGAGGCAGATGATCCACTATGGCAATCCCTAAAGGGATCAACAACTGAATCAATGATTACAGTAATTCTTCTATTCTCACTTTATTCACCCATTGATCAGGACTGTGAATCCGTGTTTGGAAGCAGCTAAATGTAATTTGACAAGACAAAACAAAACACCAAACCAATACCTGCAGGCAGATGTTAAATGGCTAACTATACTATAATGTATAAAGACAGATAAATAGCAAAAAGATGTGAGAAGAAACACCATTTAGCAAAAAATAATAGTTACAAAGATGAGATAACTGTAATGTTCTTTAATTATTCACTCGTTTTTTTATATTTAATCTTTAGCATTTCCACAATAGTATATTCATTAAATTATTCCTTTTAAGAGACACTGCTGACATTTCCCTTCGTTCGCTAATAGTCATCACCAAGCTCAAGTACTGAAACTTTCACTTTCTATAATGGGCTGACAGGGGCTGGTGTGAAATCAAGGGTCCCCTGCACTGACAGCAATCAGTCCAATCGAGACGCTTCATGATTGTGATTTGCTTCAATGAAGAATGAGGAACCCCTATAAATAGCAAAAATTACAATACGACTGGTCCTGCCATTTACTTCTATACTATCCAGTTTGAATTCTAATCTCACTCTCCATGGGAGATCGATTTAGGTGTGATAGTCCAAGTCAGAAGTCCAATTTTTATTCGCACTCTGCCCCTGTGCGGTGACTACTTTAGAGAAGTACAAAGCTTGACTACATTGCTCAAAGTCTCTTTTTCAGGCACTTTGAAAATTAAGAAAATAAACAGAGTTCTTTTCATCCACATAAAAAGGTAATGACTCAAACATAAGCTCAAAAGTCCAAGGAAAAGAAAAAAGAAAACTAAGAAAGAAACTAAAGTAATTATTTTGTTTAAAGAAAATACTTGTCTATATCTGCTTGAAGAATTACTTAATCTTCCTTCCTGGTAAACAGGACTAATCCTAAGCCAACTCTCATCTCTTTATATTGTTTCCAAAGACAGACTGACTTCTTTTTCACTCATTTTCAATCCAGTCTTGTACCTTACCATTTTTATAGAAATATTTTTTTCTTTATTTGTTACTGTGATCACTCAGGTGATCCCAATAACCCCTACTCAACACTGTTTTTGAATTATTCAAGCACAAAAAGGCGCCTAACAATTGGATGAACCAGCGTTGTCTCTAAACAATTTTAGATTGTATCACTAGCCTCAAAAACCACGTTTGTTCCCATTTCTTTAGATTAATCTATAAAAATGCTAAACATATGAATTTGACAGTCATCAAATAATTTTTTTTCACCAACAGAGTAATTCTCAAAGAACTGTTGGCTGAAAACTTCTATTTTAGCATGGTGTGCAGTTTGTATCTAGGAAAATTAAGGAAACTGGACAAGTGGAGAATAAAAGATGAAGTGGCAGACCTAAAAAACTATAGTTTTTATCTGAAGTTTTTATCAGTATCTGAAGAAGAAACCAGATAATATACAGAATGAAAAATCTAGCAAAACAGGAGAGTTCAGGCTGTGTTGAATAAATGTGTTCATACCAAATATCAACTTTTAAGCGCGTTAGAATTGCTACAATAGAAGTCTGCTTTTCCCTTATAAACTCCATTTCCATGTCCTGCATAGCTCCACATGTTTAAACAGGTGCAGAACTTTTCGTTTTTCTTAACAGAATAGAGAAATAAGGGATGTTTCAAGACTTTTTCACTATACTGCAAGAAACACTAGAAAATGTGTCAGTGGTTTAACAAAATAGAACTCATTCTGCATTATATATTTTCCTGTAATTAACTGACAGCCACTGTGATAAATCAACACTCAGTATATGGTATTGGAAAGCAAATTTATCTGCAAAGGTTTTCTATGCAAAATGGTCTCAATCAATTTCTTTTAATGTACTTTATTAAAAAAAACATTTTATTCAAAAGCTGAAAATTCTAAATTAAGGGCTAAATTTAGGAAAACATGACTATCCACACGCCTGCACAGGGTGGCAGGAGGAGAGATTCCACCTCTCTATCGGACTTCAGTTCCAATAAAACATGCATGGAGGTGTGTTCAGATCTATTTGGGCCTGCTTCACCTCCTCCACTACCTCAAGCTTCTTCATCTCTAGAGATGTGACATTTCATGTCTTAAGTGCCAGTATCCAGGGCTTCTACCCGTACCTGCACGGCACTGTTTATGCGGCACTGACCCAAACAAACCCCTATGCTACTCCAGTGATGCAGATGGCAGACATATGAAGCAGCTTCTGATGAAAGCTGGAAAAAATAAATTCACTCAGAAGTGGACCTGAAACATAATCAAGCCACATGGAGATAACGATTTTAAATTTCAGCAAAAAAATTATAGTTTTTCACATTAGCTGATCACTGATTTTCAATGTCAACTGATGAGAAAGAACACGAGAGAGAAAACAATGTAAAAAAAATAAATAAAAATAAAATAATAATAATGATACCTGTGTCTCACAACATCTTTGAGACCAGCAGAAAAATATAGACATTCATGCACATTTTTGTTTCATACAGATGCAGACACAGTTGCTAAAAAGTGTCACTAGTCTCCTTTCTCATCAACTTATGCCTCACATAGAAAAGTCCATCATGCAGGCACTCCCATTGCTTGCACACATGTATTCATGCACGTCTCCAAGCACACACACTCACAAACATTAAAAAGCAGAGAGAGGTGCGACTTTAAGTCTTCTCTCCTCTCTTCCCTGGAGCAAAAAGTCAGGGTCTGGGCTGAGGTGATAAGTGCACTGGGATGCTGCCAAGCAAATAGCACGCACACACATGCAAAGAAAAGTAAAACAAGAATATAAATATAGCTATATTTACTCAAACACAAATAAAATCCCATTTGTACAAAAAAAATGTAATTTTGCCTAAGCACACATTTAGAGAAGACCACTGATACCAACAATATAGCTAAACAATAGTGTGAATGAGTGAAGCGATTTGTGAACTTTCACAGTGTAAAGTGGTACAGGAAGCATCCTCAGAGGATGCACGCTCATACATACATGCACCACTTAATTGGTGTACATCTCCCACCTAGGGGCCACATATGGGTACTCACTGACATTCATGCTTATCTAAAGACTTGCAGGAGGCTTTGAGCTTGCTTTGAACTGCTGTCTGACAACATACTACATAAAAGTGACCGTTTTCCTTTTCGCTGCCTGGAATGAACCCTTTATGCTCTTCTCTGCATCTACTCTATGAGTTCCAGAGTGGCATAAACTATCACAAGAACAGATGGTTTTTGTTTTAAATTCACAGGACACAGAAAGACACTCTGATAAACAGAAAATTAAACTCAAAACAATAAGAAAGAAATTCATTATTAAAGCTATTTGTCTATTATCCAGTAATGGAAATGAAACAAGAGAAAAACTGATTTAAAGATTTCAAAATTAGATCTGTACCGTGTATGAATTACACATTTCACTCACCAGTTTCTTCCTCTTGTCCTGCTCAGTTGGTGGCTCCTCATCATCACTCAGCTTGGGCTCTTCAAAATGGCTCATCAGCATGCAGCTGCAAACACAATAATATTCAACTCAATATTAATAACCGCAAATAAACCTACACAGTAGGAGACAATTTCAGAACAGGCAGCATGCATACACAGGCACTCCAAATGCTGAACCCCTCTGGCACCCCTTTTTTCCTGAATGCTATTCATATTGGTTCATCTGCATGCAGAGAGAATTACAAGTAAAACCTTTGTGCACAGTATACAGTCTGTGTATGGTCTTTTATTTCCTTTGTCCTTACTTAAGCCTTATTGTGAGTAGAGATAAGGTGGGGGGGTCCTGAATGTCACACTGTGATTGTGGTGCGTAGCTACTGATAACTCGTGATCAGAAATTTTAACTCTATTCCACCTAAACCAATGACATTCAAAGTGACAAAAGTTAATTAACTCACAATTCTGGGTAGACAAAAATGCAGACTAGTAAATGGCACGTCATTAAAGAAGCTACAGTCAACTTCTTGTACTGTTAACACTGAAAAACTGTAGCATGCCAAATTGACTATGTTATTTTACTGAAATTCATTCATGGCCGTAAGGACTTCTCATTTCACACTATGCAAGAACAATTCTAAACCACTCACGAAAACACAGGTCTGTTCGTTTAAAAGTTTACGTAATTCCAAAATAAAAGGGGAATGATTGTATTACTCACTGTTTTCTGTCTCAGCTGACTGCATTTATAAACAGCAAACAACGCTCAGAGGAATATGTTCATCTACAAATATATTACTGCTCGTGTCACACCCAACAGGGACCCAAAACGATTCAACATATCACTGGCAAACAAACGCATACAGTAGACTTTGCTCCCAGCTTTTCAGTTCATTTCACACCATTAGATCTTAGTATGGTGCTGAGCATCTTTCACAGCAGTGAATAGGTGTCTATGTTTGGTGAACATCTGCTAAGAAACTGCTGAGAAAGAGACCAAAAATATTGAAATATGTAGAGGAGGTTCAAAGTGTAAGGAGCGCTGTACTCAGTAACTTTTCCCACAGTGAGAAAGTGATGGTAACTCAGACACGGGCATGACTGTGAGGCTTTATCAAGGTGCAAATACAACCAAGTCAATCTCTCATTTGCTTTCCTTGTTTTCCCTGTAGTGAGCCGCTGCCCCCATGAAATTAATTTTTATCTCAAAATATTTCTTCTGAGGTTTGCATTTGATAAATTCCAACTTCAGCATCGCATCTGCATTTGTAGTGCTTCAAGCACTTTTGGGCGTCTTCATTCATTATGCATGAGTTTTGTCAAAATTACAAACTCCATTCATTTGTGAAAAAAATGATGGGAAGGTTTGGACTGTATAATTTCCACGTTTATAAGCACAGTTTTTTTCTGCTCTTCATTTGTCAGGGGAAAAAAATATGAATACTTACTCTTTGAAAGTGCCCGTTTCAGGATCTTCTGTCATTACATCATGTAATGCCTCAACACAAATGTTGACGATGCCACAGAACTTGTCCTGAATCACGCTGATAACAGAGAACAAAGCTTCATTACTCATGCTGATCTCACCATCGCTTTTGACATCATCAGTACATTTTCACTGGAAAAAAAAATGGGACAGTGTTATTTTGCTTTTACTTTATTAGTTACACAACAAAGCCTTATCATGTTGTCCACACAGTTCTCCAGAGGAAACAATTTTTTCACATTATATGCATTTCATATGGGCAAAATTCATAGTAATTCTATCTTACAATAAAAACTAGCCCAGTTGCTACTTCTAGATAAGACTATCTATCAACTATCCTATCTGATTATTGGTTCACAGTTATCACTTATATCACTATGTCTGTAGTTCTACATTAAAAAAAGATATATTGTATCATAACAGCCATTTGAAGAGCCTCTAGTTGAACTACTCCGTTCCTAAAACTAGCAATTAAACTCCAGAGTTTAAAACCCCTTTACATATAAAGCATTTAGAGACCAATCACACAACTACTACATGACTCCAACAGAAAATTTTATATCTCATGAGTTCACACTTGCTTGTAGTTCCTTAGTTTCCAAAAGAACAATTCACTACCATGTACCCAAGACACTGTAAGATTAGGCCTAAACTCTCAAGTCTCATATAATTTAGCATGGTTTGCTGAAACAGCTTCTTCCTGACTCACTTCACTCTTAATGCACTCATAAGCCATTATCGATTTAACACTCATTAACTGTGTCTTCTCTTTCAGTTTGTGTTTTTTTCACACTGTTGTCATTTGTTGCCTGCCATTCTGCAGATATATCTGGCTGCAGAGGTGTATTTTCCCAGTCCTCACTTACCAGCCCAGCCAACCTGTCAATAGCCTGTCGTATTGTTTCTCCTATTTCTACACTTTTCACTTTAAAATCACCCCAGTCGGTTGTAACAAATGAGAGTCCTCCCAGAGCCTGGTTCTCTTGGAGCTTTACTTCTGTTAAAAGGGAATGATTACTCCCGACTTTTAGAAAGTCTTTACTTAAAGTGTATCGTCTTGTTTATCTCTGTAATACTGTTAGGTCTTGACCCTTCTATCTAAAGTGCCCTGAGATAAGTGACTGGCACTTTGGGCTATATAAATATAACTGACATCAACAACCTTTAAAAATAATATAGTTTATGAAACCCAACCACACAAGCTTGGAGACTTGCCACAGTCACTGATGAACTATTTGAGTGAGTCTCAGTGGTTAGTGGTAGTAGACAGAATATACTTGGGGGTTTTTCTCCCCTACATCAACAAGAATGAGAAAACAGGGAAGGAAGTGTTTGTGTGAGTGAGTATAGGCACTGATACATCAACTGTTCCTTCTTCTGTCAGTTCATATTTTCAGCCAGGTAGACCCAAGGCAATGCTACATAAAGTTCACTAAGCATTAGGACAAGCCATAACCTGGAAAATCAGAATGAAAGAAGTAAGTATACACAGATGTGTCCCTTATTTTGTAAGTGTGGCAATTTTACACATACACATGGTACCAAATCAGACTAAATATTGATATCAGTGCTAAATAATCTGAAATGTGCTTAAATACATAGTCACCATAATATTAATTAGGAAATAAAGATTACTGGCCTGATGGTTTAGGCAACTCTCGCACACACACAAAATCATATCTAGCAGTGGCTCTACAGTTGATCCTTTTGGTAAAATATACCTACCAATATCCTGGGAGGGTAAAATAAAATCACTAAACATATGTGCCCCTGGTTATGAATAACAGTCTTAAATTGGTGGCCATGGCAACAACTGGAAATAGGCTTTGCCTTTAAGATCATTTTAACATGTCTGTCAATTCTAATTCTATCAACCAAAAACAACTCCCAAGTGAAAAACTAATAGCTGATTAGTGGTGCTGCTCAGTGCCTGTCATTTAAATCACCCTTAAGTGAAAAACTTCACAGTGATTACATGATGGCTTGCATGCCAAAACAAACTATTTCCAAACTAGTTCGTAGAGATCTTTGAGAAGTAGTCACTACTCTGTCACAGTAAATCCCATTCACTTTTCTTTCCCCTAGTGATTTCTTTCTTGTAAATCATATATAACATATTACATATATAACACCAGCCACGTTATTAGGTATCCTTTGCTAGTGCTGGGTTCAACACCTTTTGCCTTCTCAGAACTGCTTAAATTCTTTGTAGCATAGATTAACTAAGGTGCTATAAACATTCCTCAGAGATTTTGGGCCATAGAGAGATGACAGCATCAGAGAGTCGCTACAGACTTGTTGGCTGACTATCCATGATGCAAATGTCCTGTTTCACCGCTTCCCATTGAGATCTTTGAGTTTCCCAAGAAAATATCCCCCAAACCATTATATTACCGCTAGCATCTTCAACTGTTGATCCATGGCAGGCCAGAACCAGGTTTTTTAAATTCTGACCGTCCCATCTGAATGTTACAGTAGAAATTAAGACTCATCAGACCAGGCAACTTTCCTCCCGTCTCAAAATTTGATGAACTGCAATCTGTATTCTCAGATTCCCGTTCCAAACTGATAGGAGCAGTGTCTTTTGTGGTCTTCTGCTGCTCTTGCCTGTAATAAGTGGTTGCTTGAGTCATTGTTGCCTTCCTATCAACTCGAAGCAGTTTGGCCATTCTCTTCTGACCTCTTGCATCAACAAGGCATTTGTCACTTGATATTTTCTCTTATTCTCTGAAAAACCCACACATGGTTATGTGGGAAAATCCTAGTAGATCAGCAGTTTCTGAAACACTGGGACTAGCCTCTCTGGCATAAAAAGTCACTTAAAGTTAGGGGAAAAGCTGCAAAATTGGCTATTTTTATTTTTTATTTTTAAAGGAACTTCACCATAAATTCCATTTTGGAACCAATGAGTAAAGCTACAAAGCCTAAGTACCAAAAACTGTAGTACCCTGAATGGTATGGAGAGAAATTTGACTGCAAAATGCTGCAAAGGCATCCGATATGATCCACTAGTGTAAACCAAGATTTGTGAGCTAAACTTAATGAGTTGTGAGTAAATGATTAGTATTTATTCAGCTTTATGATGTACGTATTTGCAAAACAGTTTTACGTGTGGTCAGATTGCTTCATATTTGTGCTTGGATTGAACCGCATGCTTGTGAGTCCTCGTAAGTTACATACAAATCATTGAACACAACAGTAAATCTTAGTTTATGCTTGTGGATCTTATCGTACGCATTTGCAACATCTTTGAGGCAAATTTCTATCCAAAGAATGGCCTATTGAGGCCTGCTCCAAAAGCAAGTAAATCTCTACAGGCTTTCATATGAAAATGCTCAACGTTACATCTGGGGGGGGGGGGGAATTAAGGTGACAGCTTGATAGAAAAAAACAAAAACAATTTTTAAAAAAAAGACGGCTTGCACATATAAACATGTATCATTACCATCATCCTTCTGTCAGTACGGCACAGAAAATGTTCAAGTTCAATGTAAGAGGGCTGGTACTCTGTGTCTGTAAGCACGTATCCACGTATTTATCTCTTCATTTATCATAGCGAGAGGTGTTGCCCAGAAAGTGTTTACGGTCGGGACAATAATCCACCAGAAGAAGAGAGACATAAACAAATGTGTTTCATGCTTTGGCTAAAGGATGATGAATTACAGATTTAAGTAACATCGCTTACTATAGCTTGTGACATTAAGTCTTAAAAAGAGATGGAAACTCGCTTCATTTCTGACAATATATTCTCGCCCCCATATGCAAGTCTGAAAACCCAGCTGTCTGCATTGGCCTGTATAAGGTGTGTATATCAGTATCCGCATTTGTGGTGCTCGGCTGACATATAATTGGCACCCAGAGTGTTAAAGCAGGCGCCCGTTAAGCTGTTGTGCTGTTCTGCATTTTATGGCTGTAAGGAGAAATATATACAGGATAATTTCACCACCTATATCCGTAATGATGAACAAGAGTCTACTAAATAATTTTCCAAGAACATCATTACTTTCCCCCTGTTGTGCCCTAAAGTCAGCTATGCAGTTCAATCCACTTTTCATGAGCTTAAAGCAAAATCAACACAGAAAAGAATTCAAAAATGATTCTCACCTGTTGTCAGAAGGCAGGAGGGAAAGCAGAGCCAGCGACGACAGCTTCCTCCTCTCAGGCTGAGTGATGTTGTCCATTCGGTCAACCCACATCTCTATAACATTGCCCAACAACTGGTCCATCTGATGAGCGGAGAAAAGGAGGAAGAGAAATAAGGAGGACAGAAAAAAGGGTTATTAAAAAAAAAAAAAAAGAGCAGCAGCAATTTGTACGGAGATGCGTCTCAACCTTCGCTATATTTTTGATTAAACTTCCTGTCTTGTCCTCTGTGGTGAGAAAAAACGAGCATGGTATGATGAGAGACAACTTAGAGAGGAACATCTTTGCATTTATTTAGATTAAGGCTGCAATCTCAGAACTAGGCACAATTAATTTCTTTGCTCAGAGTTTCACAGTAGAGGAGGACAACATTTTAGGGCTTGAAAATGTTACCATTTGCAATTCCTTGGCTCATTACTTTCAGCCTCGTTCACACTGATTCCCTTTTAACAGGCACTTTGCATTTATGTCTCCCACAGACATTCATCGAGTCTGTGCTGAGGAGAGAGAAATGAAGGGCAGACATCAAACCTCACCTCCTGGTTACACTCAGAAGCCATTTGACTTAGCAAAGACGAGAAAAAACTGAAGTTCTGGAGCAGGACACGACCCATGATGCCCAGGTAGGTGGACATCACCACGGGATATCTCTGTAGATCATAGACACGCAATCATGCATACAGATGATGAAAAATAACCACGCATAAATGGTTTTACATAAAACACGAGTCATTAAGCTTGATAAGAGGGAAAAGATGGACCCACTGACACAGCAGAATCCTGTGAATGTGTAACCTTTAACTGAGCTGACTTATCAGTAATTGCCACTATACAGTCTTTGAAGAATTCATTTCAAGTGACAGTAAAGGACAAATTAGAAGAAGGGCCGGGACTATTAACACTTAAGAAAGAACTGAAACCTTAAAAGACAAATTTAAGGTTAAATATGTGGTGAATAATGAAAAACATATTTTTACAGGTTCCTCCTTTTACACAGTTCCAGCGTAGATTCGAGCAAGATGCAAAGGTAAAACTCACCTCACCATCCACAATACCTCTGAAGACAGCTGGCAGCAGGGGCTGAAACATGTGGGCTCCCAGCATGGGGCTAACCTTTAAAGCTATCTCTACCACCTGCAGGGACACAGGGCGAGGAAGGATGAAGGGCGACCCTCAGAGGGTGGAGTAAGCAAAAGGAGCAGAGAGAAACTGACAGGAAAATCTCAGGAGGAAGCCAGAAAAGGAGCACAAAGGGTCAGCCACATAAAAATGTAAAGAAACTTCTGTCGTTATGGGAAAATCCCTCTTTTTATAGATGGTACAGTACGCGGAAGACGCAGCGTTTTTACATTTTGTATTACTTTCCCAAGAAAACTAAATGCTGCTTCTTGTATTCATAATCAAAGACTGTGATGCTGCAGGTAAGAGGGTCTAGAGTGAGCCGTTTGATATTCCTTATGTGCCATTTCTCAAATTATTTTATTAGTAATGAAAAAGTCATAGCTCCTCTTGCATTATAATGGGGTCAGTTAATAAGCAGCAGTGCTTGCGCAGTTTGTGTGAGTAAATGTTTATGTGTCTCCTTTTACTGGATATAATGGTGCTTTCAGCGCACCTGCTCTTCAGTGGCCACACAGGCACAACAACCTCTCACAGTGGCTGAACTCAAAAGCAATGAAAAATAAATCCAGACAATAAAAGAGAACGAGACACAATCAGCTGTGATTTTGGAAAAACAACATCTACGTGACTTGACTTTTTGTGAGAGGGGAGGAATGGGAGTACCTTGAGCACCTGCACCCGCCCTTCATTTGTGATGTCTTTCAGCAGGTCACAAAACGATCGACACAAGGATTCTGCGTAGTTCTGGGGAGGGAATAATCGGGGTAGATGGTTCAGTTCTGTAAAAACTGCCAACATGTATTATGACAATATAAGAGTTATGTGAAGTCCAAGTGTTCTTTTGTTGTGTCTCACCTGCAGAAACTCTGTAGCTGACAAATATATGTAGCCATTAACAATGTGGAAGCAGGTACGCAGGTTCTCAGAGCTCAGCTCTAAAACAGAAATGTAAATGTTGCACTTTACAAATTGGACAACAGGTAATTTTTGGAGCATTGCATAACAAACAGAGGGATCAAAGACACTGCGAGAATATGGTTTTTGTTTCTAAATAATCTGAGGTGATACTGCTGAGTGAGACTCTTAATTCAGTTCAGTTTTATTTATATAGCACCAAATAACAACAGATGCCTCAAGGTGTGACTGGCAAAGACCCTACAATAGCACAATATTTGCTGTGGTTTTCTCTATATTGTGGGGTCTTACAGTATAAAGCAATATAAAGCACTCTGAGGTGACCATTTTTGTGATTTGGTGCTAACAGAATTTTTGTGTATCTGTGTGCATGTTTAAGTAACTATGTTTCTCTGTAAAGTAACATCTGGCAATAGCAAAGAAGCAAAGCATTCAGCCATCTCAGGTATAATAGTAAAAAAAAAAAAAATCATAATTATAAAAATTTAATTAAAAAACAACTTTATAATAATACAATTAATCTAATTTATTATTTTAGAATAATTTAAATTGCTATAAATAAATGTGCTGTAGCCCATGCCCCCACTTTAGACTCAAATCTGCTTGCTGCAAGTATCACTGGAAAAACAAGTGGGATTGCTGCAGTCAGCTTTCAGCGAGCTATCCAATTCAAGCAGTGTATTAACAGTTCATTTTATTTTGACTTCTGTAGCTTTATTGTAGATTTTTGCTGATTAAAACAAAATGTAGCTGCTTCCATTCAACATTAAGTTCGCTTTTCTTAATGTTGAAGCTTGCTGAATAGGTGGTTTGAGTAAGGACTCCCGCTAGCTTTTTCCCCAGTAAAGTTTGTAATGATGGTTACAGTAGCAGGCACTGCTGTTTTAAATACTACAAACACACTTTGTTTCATTACACCTGAGCTAACCAGTTTGGAAATGGCTCTGCATCTTTGCTGTTCACCCTCTTTTTAGACAGACACTGGTTCCATATCACTCACACACATCCCCTCATTAAATTTCTCTTACGGGTCTGTTTTAGTCGCAAACCCTTACAGTAAATGAAGGGTTGAAGCAAAAAAATCTGCTTCTTTGCGATAAAGTTATTTGAGTTACTTGATGAATCGTCTAAGGCGTAGTTTACAAGATGAGACAATAAACTCCTTAGTTATCAATAGCTTTTCTTTTCTGTTAAATTAAGTGCATTTAGTTTAATTTAAGACTGATGAAAACAATTTCAAGGATATCAAGTTATATAAGGTAAAGACAAACTGTTCAAACAGAAGTCTTGTACAAAAATAAAGACAATTAATTTATACTAGCAACTTCAAATCAAAATAATAAACCACCAGTGCTATCCCCTCTGCCTCCTAGTACTCACACCAATGTATCAATTTCAAAATCCTATGTCGCCTTGTTTTCAAGTTCTCGCATTCACAAATTTTGGTTTCCATGCTGCTTGCCCGGCAATTGACGACAATATCCCATCAGCCTTTTACGGTTATAAACTGTAACACAGTATTGTTACAGTTTTCCTGTGCAGTATTTCCTAGTACACATACTTAAATATAACGTTGCTTAGGAGGCTGTGATTCCTTGTCCTTTTAAACAAAATCCTACCTTTCTTTTGATTACATCAAAACACCTAAACCTGATGTGTTTACTTGTCAAAGTTTGTCTGCAAGAAGATTACAGTAGAATCTGTGATAAACAATGATAGCGGGCCCACTATGAGCGTGCCTGTTTGTAAAGATGATATTTATGCTAATGCATGCAACATGTTTTCTCCAGCCAACTGTCAGACATAATAAAGTAATGACGATAATATATTCTGCCATCTGTTATCTTCTCAGGTACATTATGTATTCCAGGAGCAATTTAGTCACTGCATCAGCCAAACACAGTATAAGGCTATACTACGCCAAACACATGTAATGAGAATTGATAATGAGTAGACAATTATTGAATATAACACAAAGGAGACACAGGTTAGTGCAAATTATAAGGAAGGAGCAAACAGAGGAATGTCTAAATAGTCAAAATAACTATTTTAATATGTCATTCTGTGTAGAATTGGTACTGGAGGAGAGCATTAAGAGGAAAGAAATGCATTCGTTTGGTCTGCCCAAGTCATAAAAAGAAGAAAAGAAAAGTCAAGGCAACAGATTTCTTAATAGTGAATGAGCAAGGAGACGTCAGTTCATTGAACATTGCGAGCATGGCAGGTCCGCAGACAATGGATAAATGGGTGTGAATGTCCAAGCTTACTTAGAAACTGGATTTACATATTTTGACATGTGACAGTTTTTATGCATATTCTTTTTTAAGTTAAAAATATATATTTTAGTAGATGTGCAGTAACTCTATAGTTACCTCTAACCCAGTAAAAAACAGATATTGTGTTGCTGGTTTCCCAGATATTTCACCAAATGACCGAAAATGCTGGAAGTTTTCCTCTCCTTCAAATTCCATTATGCAGTTATTTAGTAAAGGACACAAAAGAGTTCATTTGATGGAAGCCATTATTTTCATAGCCTAAAAGCGAGCAAAATCAATATTTCAAAAATAAATGTATTCAAATAGATTTAACTTGGACAGAAATTCTTTTGTTGTGTCTAAATCATTTTATTCCCATCAAGGTAACCTGAAAGGAAAGGAAAACATGTGGGTGGCTAATCCATCTCTGTGCTGTCAGTGACACCAATGATTTTATTAAACATTACTGAATCGAATTCAAAAGAAAGCAATACCTCCGCTTTCACAATACCTGCTCCAGCTGCAAATTATAATTTGTGCCAACAAGACAATTACTGCATAGACGTTTCTGTACACAAACAAATATAGGGTAAATAGAATAGCCTGAGCACATGCCAAACTAAACATAACTCTTTAGCAAGTTTATTTTGTTGTGACTGCAAAAATAAAACTACTAAGTAAGCAACTATGTTCAAACAATTGATGCAATACATGAAACAAGACACAAAATTAAGGTTGGCTATAGTATGTACTTAAATATCTCATACATGTTTCTCCAAAATGTGCCTCAACTCACACTGCGTAACTGAAAACAGTTACAAGTTGCCAAAAATAGGTTGATTTAAACTACTGGTGGGCTCTGGCTGGTGGCAGAGCTCTCACAGCAAACCTCCAGTGAGAACCGATCAGCATCTAATATAACTGCTTTGAGCTGAGATTCTACCAGCAGGTCTCTAAAGGCCAAGACTGGAACAAACATGGAAAGGGGCTTTTATGAGTGAGCTTAGCGTGAATACCCCAGGCACAGTTTAAAAGCTATTTCAGTTCATATGACAGGGAAACTAGTGGGGTGTACTAAAAATGTGGCAACAAGGTTAATCTGGTTTGATATGTAACCTTGAAATGAAGGGCTCTGAGAGGAAAAACTAATTTTCAGAAGAGACGTGAATGTTACATTAAGCATTTGTCTGTTATTTTACAATCCACCAAACAGAGTAACTTTGAGGGGAAAACCAGGTTGTTTCACCACAAATCTTCCCCAAGAGGGTAAAAAACAGAGTTGTGCATTGTAGGCATTGATTGACAAGAAAGAACTTTTATTTGGCATTCTGTTTGATCAGAGTCGGGGCTTTTTATATTACTTTAGCTGGTTATTACTAGCATTTCATTCCTCTTCTTAAATGTGTACTTTCTGATAAGATAGTACCTCAAGTGTATACAATAGATCAGTTATGCTTACCTAAAATCTTAATTGAGTGAGCTACATGATACTGGAAGGACCAAAATACCCACACAGACAAATTTGAAGTGCACACAACACAGGGCAGGAAATTTTTCAGGAAACTTAGAAAAATTATTTCATATATTTCTTAACAGTTTTTTTTTTTATATTAACTGTTTTACTAAACTGTCTTTGAAGTGGGACTGTACAAGGTTCTACCAGTAGATATGACCTCCAAGCAGACAGGATCACCAAGCCGTGATCAGCAGCACGCATATTTTAGTTGCCAAAAAGAAATCATTATCATTTAAATAAACATATGCTTGGCCCTGGCAGAGTCCAACACCCACCAAAAACTAGTCCGCTTTATTGCTGGCTATAGGGACCAAGCTCTTGCAAAGGCTTTATAAGGACTGAATGGCCTATAGCAACGGATGCAACGAATCCCTTCACCAAGTCCACAAAAGACATGTAGACTGGTTGGGCAAATTCCCTTGCCCCCTCGAGGATCCTCGAGTGGGTAAAGATGGTCCAGTGTTCCACGACCAGGACGAAAACCACATTGTTCCTCCTGTATCAGAGGTACTACTGACGGACGGACTCCTTTCCACCACCCTGGCATAGACTTTCCCAGGGGGGCGGAGGAGTGTGATCCCCCTATACTTTGAGCACACCCTCCGAACCTTTTCTTGAAGATGGGACCCACCATCTCGGTCTGTCAATCTAGAGGTACCGGCCCTGATCTTCACACAACATTGTACAGGCACGAACCTCATCCAACCCAGGAGATCTGCCACTAAGTAGTTGTTAAACTGCTTCAGTGACCTCACTCCCAGAGATAGACAAATCACCCCCCTCTACCCCAGACTCTTCTACGGAAGACATGTCAGTAGGATTAAGGAGATCGTCGAAGTACTCTTTTCACCACCTGACAATGTCCTCAGTTGAAGTCAGCAGCGCTCCATCTGCACTATACACAGTGCAGGTAGAGCAATGCTTTCCTCTCCTGAGTCGCCTGATGGTTTGCCAGAATCTCTTTGAGGCAGTCCAGGGAAAATAAAATCAATTGATGAAAAACTATTTCTTCTAAACAGTCTAGTTCTAATATAAACAAAGAGTAGACTGTTCTTTTTTCTATGCCTGTGTAAATACTGTCACCCCCATTATCACACTTCAGTGACACCATATGAGTACACTCAAAAATACTTAATCTTACCTGCAAGCAGTTACACATGCTGCATTGTCTTTAATGCCAAAGGCAAAATAAGAGGTAGATAAATGCTTGTGACATCTCTCCAGTCCCTGTCCCTCCATAATGAAACCA